AATGTAAAATCCTTTTTTCCTACAAATTATTTCAAAAACTAGCTATTTCATGTTCATATGTAATTAGGGATATTTTTAGTTTGAATTGGAGAAGGGGATTATGATGAGTTTGGCTAGATTTTTCTCACAAAGGCTAAGTGGCGTTTTGGCAACCATTAGAGAATAAAGGGGAGGTGTTAGTCACTACTCTAAATAGGTTGAGGTGGAGAGTTTGTAGCATTAGGAGTTGATGATTTGGTGATTACTCACCACTCTAAATGTGAAGGTGGAAGTCTACTTAAGGGTGAGTTGGCAAGTTTGTATTCATTAGGAATCTAAGAGCTAAATGTTTGGTGATGATTCATCCCTCCAAAGTTTGAAGAGGTGGGATTCATATTCCTTAGAGATGAACGTGGCCTTGGATGCTTGTATCCACCTTGCATAATATTGATTAACTTCACACATGTCTCTTTGCCATTTGAACACATATTAGAGCTAAGGTTTTGCTTAACATTTGTTGTTTGTCTATTGGACCACATTTCATTGTTAATGATGAGAATAACATTTGTTGCCTTGTGATTGGAACACATTTCATGGTGATGATTAGATTAACATTTGGTGTGTTTCTATTGGAACACATTTCATGTCTATTGGAACATATTGTTAAGGCTTTATGCCATCTTTCATTGTATTTTTAAATCCCTCATATATAGTGAAATACGATGAAAGCAAACCCCAGTGGATGTAGTCAATTTGGTGAACCACTTAAATCTTATGTGTTTATGCATTTACATTTTGAGATCTTTTCCATGAGAAGCACTTCCACCAAACTATCCGCAATCTCTATTTATCTCTCTTGAGGATGATGTACAAAGAGTGTGAGACAAATCCCAGAAAAATACATGAGCCTTACCCAACAAATCTCTCCATCAAACTACTATCATTTTCATCTATCAAAAGAAAGATATCCAAGACTAGAAATTCGTCCAGCCTATTTAACAGATCAAAACACCATCATCTATATATTTTATTATAATACTTCCTTCATGAGAGTTGTTCCTCTGTCTCTCTACCATGATATATCAAAATTTCAGAAACATCCAACGGTGTGACCGTCCATTATGTCTGAAATACCAACTAATGTCTCTAATCCCGCAGAAAACTGGACAGCCATGTTATGAGCACCAAAACCCCATTTTTCGTAACTCGAATCGAAACACTTCCTTCACAAAAGTTGTTCCTTATCATCTCCTCTATAACATATCCAAAAACCATGACAATCGAATATATTTACTGACTTATATCCCAGTTCGAACAGCTGATAGTTTTAGCTATATTAAAGAAGTAGAAGTGGTGGGCTAAAATAAAAATAAAAGATGATGTTTGGAAAGGGAAAAGCTAGAGACATAATTTCATGCCTTATGGCATTTGAGACATATATTTTGTTACATCCCACATCGTCCAGGGGAGTGGATCATGTAAACCTTATATGTATATTCTCATCTCTACCTAGCACGAGGCATTTTGGAAGCTCACTAGCTTCGGGTTCCATCGGAACTTCGAAGTTAAGCGAGTTTGCATGAGAGCAATCCCAGGATGAGTGACCTACTGGGAAGTTCTCGTGTGAGTTCCCAGAAACAAAACCGTGAGGGCGTGGTCGGAGCCCAAAGCGAATAATATCGTACTACGGCGGAGTCGAGCTCCGGATGTGGTGGGGGCCCGGACCGGGATGTGACAATTTGGTATCAAAGCCAACCCTTGGTCGGATGCGTGCCGACGAGGATGTCGAGCCTTTAAGGGAGGTGGATTGTAACATCCCACATCGTCCAGGGGAGTGGATCATCTAAGCATTATATGTATATTCTCATCTTTACCTAGCACAAAGCTTTTTAGGAACTCACTGGCTTCGAGTTCCATCAGAACTCCGAAGTTAAGCGAGTTCGCTCGAGAGCAATCCCATGATAGGTCCACTGGGAAGTTCTCATGTGAGTTCCCAAAAACAAAATTGTGAGGGCATGGTCGGGGCCCAAAGCGGACAATATCGTGCTACGGTGGAGTTGAGCCTGAGATGTGGTAGGGGCCCGGGCCAGGATGTGACAATTTGGTATCAGAGCCAATCCCTGGCCGGAAGTGTGCCGACAAGGACGTCGGGCCCCTAAGGGCGGTGGATTGTTACATCCCACATCGCCTGGGGGAGTGGATCCTGTAAGCCTTATATGTATATTCCCATCTCTACCTAGCACGAGGCTTTTTGGGAGCTCATTAGCTTTGGGTTCCATCGAAACTTCGAAGTTAAGTGAGTTCGCGCGAGAGCAATCCCAGGATGGGTGACCCACTGGGAAGTTCTTGTGTGAGTTCCCAGAAACAAAACCGTGAGGGCATGGTTGAGGCCCAAAGCGGACAATATCGTGTTACGGTAGAGTCGAGCTCGGAATGTGACATATTTCACTCTAACGATTATTTTCTCTAACATGGATGTCTATTCTTTTCTAATAAAAACAGGTTGCCCGGCCAAGATGGACGAGATGATGAACAAATATATATGGAGTGGTCAACGAGCAACATTTTATATGATAGATTATAGATTATTATTTTGTTAATATTATGATTATATCACTCTTGTTACTAATCAATTTGATTTATGTTGAAGTTGCAGGCTTGTTAGATAAAGTGTGAGTATTGATATCTATGTAAACATGACATATACATATGCATTGCAAAGCAAGAAAAAGAGTTGTGTTGTGTCAAGTGCTCACTTGTGTAAAGTGTTTAAGTTGTGAGGATATTCAAGGGCTAAAGTTTGCCTTGAATATAAAATAATGAACCGTGTATATGTCAAGCATAGGGTGCAGAGCTTGAGTATACAATTGGTTGATTATATAATGAAATCTTGTATATGGCAGGCATAGGGTGCAGAGCTTGAGTATACATTTGGGCATCGGGGAAAGTGCATGTTTAATAAAGTGGAAACTGAGAGTTTAATTATAAAAATTGGGTTAAGGGATGAACGGGAGTTAACTCATATTCTAAGGTACTCGGAGCCTGGTATAAGCATGGTATGGGACGTGCAAGCTTGGGTGCCTTAGGTATGTGTTGATGGGATTAGATGGGAGTGAGTACATTCATACATCTCACTGCATACATTTTATGTATTTTCAAGAGCTACTCATTTCAATTATTATTTTAGTTGGTATTTTTGTTATGAATTAATTTTGTATACTAATATTTGTTACAATTTAATTATTATTTTGTTAGTAGTTTTTGTTGTGAATTAATTTGTGCATTATTGTTATTCCGCTGCATATTTAATAAATTTTAATTATTTCATTTTATTTTCCATCATATCTTGGTTGTAGAATTTATTTCTATAGCTAAGATATAGCTTACACCCTAGCTCATGGATAATCTTTATTCGCGGATCGGGGCGTGACACTCGTATTGTGTTCGTATTTTGAATGGTATTCATTGGGGACCAATTACCTGTGATTCTTACCCATAATTCCCATTTGCCATGCATGCCTTTTTGTTATGGGGTTGTTTTGCCTTTACAGTCTGGATTATTTGCTTGGCCAGGGTTAAAACACAACTTGTAATGACAAGTAGCAGTGATGAACATCAAAACCCTTCACGTGTTTCATTTAGTGTTCTTGGCCAGCCATCAAACACTTCACATGTTCGTTTTAAGGCCAATTTGCACATTTGCAATGTAATTTCGTTTACTCATGCTTAGTGACACAATCGCAAATGTTAATAGTTCATCTATTATATAATAAGAATGAACGACATATTTGATATTTCTTTCTTGAAATTAGCCTAATCGTTTTGTTATGAATTGAAATAGCTTTAGCTTAAAATTCATGATTAAATTTTCTTCCCAATGGTTGCTTGTGACGGCAATGTTTAAGTAGACTAGTAATAGTAGGAGAAATTTTATTTAAAGCATTCAAATTTGGACAGGGTGTAGCTAGACATAAAAACCCTCATTGATGATTCCACCAACTTCAATTAATTTTTTAATTAGAGAAATGCTAAGCAACTCTCTAAAAAATTAGACTCTTTAAAGACTCTCTTTATCTCACAGTTTAACGTCAATTTTCATGCCAATATTGTAAAACATTGTACCAAAAACATAAAGTGGCTGAGAGTTCATAAGAGTCCTACTTTGAAAGAGTAACCTTGCCATTTCTCTTTTAATCAAGCAAGATGCAGGACTGTTGACTTTACTTGTGTTTTAAGTTTTTAACATTCAGTTATGCTATCTGCATGGTTGACTAGGTTTTAATTGGGGACAAGGATTGTCTGCCCTCCACTTCATGTGCCTTCCCCGTGCCCTCTTGTTTGTGTGGTTATGTTGACGTGGCTTAACCGTGACCACACAAAACAGGAGAGCACGGGAAGGCACCAAAAATGGAGGGCAGACAATCATTGTCCTTCAATTGGCGTACATAAATCCTTTTCATATCGCTTTCATCACAATAAATAAGTGAAAGCCATTGTGTACAAAGAGTACCATTGACGCTAATCTATTGAATGAAATGTTCACAAAAGCAGAAACAGTCAAAATCAACTAGCGCGCTAGTGATTTTATCACTCATCGTTTATTGAAACGTTGATTCAGTCATATATTAGGTGAAGCAGATGCAAATATTTGCTAGAAAACAATGGATCTATATTTTGATTGAATTTATACAAGTACTTTAAAGTTTGAAGAAACAAGAACAAGAGCTAGCTAACATGAAAGAACTCTTTATAACACAAAAATAACAAGAACATAATATATATAATTATATATATATATTTATACAAGTACTTTAAAGTTTGAAGAAACAAGAACAAGAGCTAGCTAACATGAAAGAACTCTTTATAACACAAAAATAACAAGAACATAATATATATAATATATATATATATATATATATATATATATATATATATGTAGTGATCATGAAAAGAAGCTAGGCAACAAAATGGTGGATGATAATTCAATTCCTCACAACATTCCAAGATCTTATAGAACAAAATCTTAAGCATAAAATGGGAAATAATTATTATCTTCCAACTTCCAAGACATTTGACAATCGACATAATTATAAAGTAATATTTTTACACTTCCTTTTCTAACGAGTTCCCTTTGCTAATCAAGGCACTGGAAAGTTTACCAAAAAAAAAAAAAATCAAGGCACTGGAAAAGACTAACAATTAATTAAGATATTCCAATCTGCCCAAAAAACAAGCAAATCCTCAGAAAAAGTTAGCATTTCCATGATCTGGTGTCACCGTATCACTAAAGAAGTGGTCTTTCCCTAGAGCAGCAGCAGCAGCACCTTCATCAAACAGCCACTTCTCAAGAAACGACAGCGGCAACTGGCCGCTGATAAGATCCGGCTTGCTTTCGCCCTGGAATAGGCTGGCCTCCGGCGACATGGATGGAGACAAATCGGAATTCGAGGACTCAAAACCGAACAGAGACTCAAATGTATCAGATAACTCAACATTGCCACTATTCGCAGTATTTGCCACAGATGTGGTTCCCTCACTAGATGAATAATGCTGATAATCTGTCTGATTATTAGCCAAGTTGGTTAATCTAGCTGATTTATTTGGTGGGTTTTTCATCCAACCTTTCAACAATCTTGAAATGTTCTCAGTGCTTGAAGCATAAGTAGAATTGCTTGATTGATCTAGAGTTGGGTTTTTCAGGTTCGAAATCGAAAACCCATCTGCGGGATTCAAATCAGAACTCAAAGCCAGTGGCTTTTCTGGGGAAAGGGCATCTCTGAGAGCTTGCCTGGCCATGTGGATGTCTGTTTGAAGCCTCCTCTCCCATTGTCCTCTGGATATTGCCTGTGAGGAAGAATTACTGTTTCCTTGATCTTTAGAGTGAAGGCCTTCAGTGCCTCCTCCTGCAGCTTGGAGCTTGATCAGCTTCTTCCTCAAGTGTGTGTTCCAATAGTTTTTAATGTCATTGTCAGTTCTCTGAGGGAGGTATGAAGCTATTGCAGCCCATCTGCAATCACACATTCAAAGGTGCTATTATTAGATTTGCAGAAACCAAAACTACCCAAATTAATTGAAGATATATTGGATCTTTTTCAGATTAAAAAAAAAAAGATTGGATCTTTTGTATTATTAGATGTAATGTAAATAGAAATTCTATAAATTAAACAATATGGTGCGTTTTAAAATTACCTATTACCCAAAAGAGCTTGAAGGTGGATGATCATCTTCTCCTCATGGTCAGTAAAGTTACCACGCTTGATCCCTGGCCTGAGGTAATTAGTCCATCTAAGCCTGCAACTTTTACTGCATCTATGCAGCCCTGGATTTACCAAAATAGAACAACGATACATATTAGTTTTGATTCCCAAAGAAAAAGAAAACCAAAATGTGACAGTTTAAAGGTAAAATATCACAAATTTTAAGATCCTTCCACTAATCTCAAAATTAAACAAAACCAATCTCATTACAAGCAAAAACCAACATTTTACTCCCAAAAAATGGAAAGAAAAAAAAAAGGAAATTAGAAAAGAAAGAAAATCTACCTGTGTTGGTAGGAACAGCCCTCCAATTTCCAGGACCATGTTCTTGAATGTAAGAGACTAAACTGATGTCTTCTTCAGGAGTCCAAGGTCCTTTCTTGATCCCTTCTTTGTCACAGCAAGGAGGCCTCCCCATAATATTTTCCCTTTCTTTAATCAAATCACCAACGCAAAAGTCTCCCAAGTGTCTTGCTATCCTCTCACACACCCACTTGGAACTATGTTTTTTTTTTTTTGGAAAATGCTAAGACAAGAGACTCAATACTAAAGAATGGATGTTTTGGTCTGCATAAATAGACAAATGAAGCCGAGAGAGAGAGAGAGGGAGAGAGGAGAGAGGAATGGGGAGAGAGGGGAAGACGCTGACCCAAAAGATATCAACAACAGAAGGGCAAGGGTAGCAAAAGAGTCAAAAGGTGACAGCAAGAGCATTTATTCAATGGCAGCAAGGCAAAGCTAAAGTCAGATGTAGTGGCACCTCAATCTCACTTCTTCCCCGTCTCCCCCCCCCCCTTTTCTCCTCTCTCCTCTCTCCTCCTCCTCCTTCCACTGCCTTGCAAAACCGCGTGGCATTCAATGTGGCTCAACTGGGGAAAACCCCGTCCTTTAATGTGCTCTTAAACGCAACATGTCATCACTCATGAATTATGTGATTCGCTTTCAGCAGCCTCGGCACTGCTCCTAGTGAAAAGTAAAAAGTCAAAAACCTTACAAGCCCCCCTAGTAATTACTTGGAACCGAAGTCCCTAATGCTTTCTTATCAAAATTTTGCCCCTACACTCTCCTTTGGAAGTGCTTCGTGAAGAAAGTGCTTCTCCAGAAAGCTTTTTTAACTCATAGTAATTTTAACTTTTGTTGCCTTTATGATCTTTTTTTTATTGTCAAAAAGTAGTTTCAAACATGTCATTTATATCATTTTTCCATGTTTATATTACCTTATCGATATGATAAAAAATTTAGCTATAAGAATGATTCGGTTACATAACATATTATAATTAATATGAATAGTTTGATAATGTTATGTGGCTGTGCTACGATTATATATACTAAAACAATTCTCATGATGAAAGGAGTAAGTTGGACTTATCTTGAACCATAACTAATATGTATATGGGGGTGTAATGGGTGTTGGATTTGTTTCATGTAAAGACTTTGATTTCACTTGACATCATAGAAAATTAAGAAAGATAAAGTATGATCAATTTGTTGAGTAGCCAAAATGCAAGACGGGGACATACATGGTGATTGATCTTGTTTTCTCATGCATCATAAATGTCGGCTAACCTACATGGATAGAGAGGTAGTGATCAAAGTCAACCATGTTAGCTACTCATGGAAATCACTTGCCATATGTCTATTACATTGCTTATCATCTTATGATCTTATCCTTGGAATGATTCCCATAAATAAATAATAAAAAAATTAGATCATCTAAGATTATGTTACGTACTTATGTCATGAATCAGAATGATATCAAAATGTTTGTGTGAGATAACTATTCCTTAGGTAATTAGATATATAGTTGCTCATGTACGAGATACTTATTTTAACGTCGAATGAGTCGCTTAGTTTTTTTTTTTATATGCTAGTAAACACATGATATGTCATTAATCAGACTGATATGCATATCTTGAATACCTTTTCCATTCTTGTAAGCAAGGCAACATTTATCCACACACTTGAAACTATGTATTTTTCGTCTCCAAAATTGCTTGTGTCAAAAGAAACAACAAAATTACTTAGCTATTCACTTTTTGGGCTTCGTATATTTTTTCTTGCCGTTACGCTAAATAATTCTTAAAAAAAAAAGAAAAACCCTACAAATTATTGTTCCTATAGTGTGCAATTTGGATTTGGATTCCATCTGGATCCTAGAGATCCTCACATTCTAATCATTCATCGTACATCGTACAGTTAGAAATCATTTGAATTTTTTTATTTAAAATTAAATACAAATAGTACTTAACAAAAACTGATCACACGATATACAATAAATGACCAGAATATAAAAATTCCTAAGATCTCCACAAAGAGCCAGAGAGAATCCTCCGTGCAATTTCGATTCATGTGTTATTCTTACCATTGGGAAGTGACTTGACTAGGGGATGGTGGGACCTTGGGAGGCATGGTCTTGTGGAATCTTAATTAGTCCTGATTGTAATTATCTTGAGCTTGGACCCATCATTTATGTATCATCCATCAAACAACGAAGATGATAGAGAGTTTAGAGAGTGAAAAGCCTGGCTTTGCGCTTTGCACTTAATTCAACCGGCTAATTAATGGTCCTACCGTCCCCATAAATATTTAAGCTTGGTCGATAATCAAATTATCTTCTATAATTACATGTTTCTAAATCTTCTTCCAAGTCGTTGAAGTAGTAAAAATTCAAAGTCGATTTTAAACTGTTACAATATATACTGAAAAGTGAAAAATGTAATTATTCTGATGTATGTAGTTAATTGATAGCAACCTATAATCTTCGAGTAATGTTATTCATACAATATTTTTATACCATATTTATATACCACTTTAAGTGACATCTGATGTGGATAGCCATATCATTTGAAAAATTTGCAAAATCCAAGGAAATGAAGGAGAAAGACTCCTCGTATACCACAATTATCATTTAATTAACTAGTTTTTCTTAATTATTATTTTATTAAATAATGAACTAAATTTAAAAATCCGATTAATTCAAATGATGTATCTATCTACATCAAATGTCACCTAAAATGATATGAAAATATGATACAAAAACATAGTATGAATATCTTTACTCATAATCGTCACATTTTCTGTTTGTATCATTTACTGTTTTTTACCACCGAAATTGTATACACGCGTTGTATGCAAGAACGTTCTTGTGTGCCCGGTTAATTGTAAATATATAGAGCTTTATGTAATAAAAAGGTTTCTCGAGTATAGTCAATCCGGAAATGAAGGGGCTGATTTGGAACCAGGAGGCGAAACCCTAGCAGAAGAAGAATGGCAGATGCATGTCTGTGTTGTGCATATGTTTAATTGTTTGTGTAAGAAGAAAATTATATATGCATGTGCCAATTCTAAATTGTCACCGATTCTGTCATACTGCAATTTCCATGTGCCCTTTAATATGGACAAGAATTATCTGCCCTCCCGTACATTCCTATTTGTGTAGTCACGGTTAAACTACGTCAACATTTTATATTACTATTTATTTTTGTTTTATTATCTTTATAAAAAAACAATATAAAATGTTGATGTGGCTTAATCGTGACCACACAAAACAGAAAGGCACGGGAGGGCACCGGAAGTGGGAGGGCAGACAATCATTGTCCCTTTAATATATATGCAGAATCAAAATTCCTTCTTCTTTCTCCTTCTGATTTGGCTCTATGCTAGCTATTTCTGATTGGAAATTTATAGATGCTCGTGGTTCCAATTAGTCTGCAATCTCCATATATGATATCTTTGTATATATATGCATTTTTTTACGAGAAATTTAACGAAAAGTTTCCGGTACTGTTCATTTTAACGAAAAACTATATTTTTACACTAAAAAGTCAATCATTGTACTATTCACTTTATTCTTTATTTTGTCATTTTTGTTAAAATTCAAAGTTTTCAAATCCTTATCATTAGTTTTTTTTTTTTTTTAAATCATGCAGCCTGCACAATTCACAAGATGATCCAATTATATGACAGTATCTCATGCATGATCAGTTGGCCATATATTTTCTGCTGCCAATGTACGTGAATAATTGATGCGGATTATATATATACGGGTGATGAAATTGGGGAGCATGAATGTTTGTAATTTGTTTATATATGATACAATCATACAAATACTAGGATCTCGAAGATCATTGTAGTTGAGATTTTATGTCCAATTTTTAATGGTTAAATTACTTAATTGCAATTTGAATGTACTTTTAAAAAAATGTTAACTGTATATGAAGATTAAATGCATGGTTGTTTCCTTTGGAACGAAAGATCAGTTTGAGATTTTGCTTTTGAAGAATTGAGTTACTTTTTTTTTTTCAGTACTATATGTTTAAAATTTTTGTATGCTTTTATATGTTTCATTACTCCATTATTAACATGTGTCTCCAACTTGCGAACTTCTGTTACAAGATTAGACAACCTTAAAATTAGAAAATAGATCAAAACTTGAATTTGGTACCGAATTCTATTTCTTTAAGCTCGCTTGAGCTTGACTCATATAAAAAACAAGATACTTTTCGCTCAAGCTCAAAATTTTATACAAACCAAACTTGAGCATATAGTTCTATTCAACTCGTGTATAACTTTAGTGTTTTTTACTTCTACAATCAGATTCGAGATTCTTTTTTCGTAATTTAAATCATATTAGACTATTGCTCGAATAAAACAAATTGATTTTATAGGCCCATAGTCGTGCATGCCCATGAGTGGTGGTTTTCTGTATTGATCTTCCTCATTTTTCTCTTGTTTTGACCTTTTATATTTATTTTTCTTCTGGCGGACTACATGTACATAGACTCCATACTGAAACAAACACATGACCTTTTTATACGAAGGTGTTGGTTTCTAGTAGTATAGTTGACTGAAACAAATACATGTCCATACTTTCTATTTTCTTTGATTAAAATGCCCATACTGTCCATACAGATTTGAAGTGTCCAAGTAGTGAGTACTGAAAAAATTCATGTGCATTATTATTTCCCACAATTTACAAGACGCGTTAGCGATGTACATGAAATGAAAAATCAATACGTATTCAAGTATTCTCACACATACAACCATCATGGGGTGGCCCAATTGTTGGAGAAAAACTTGTGTGGGGCTTGGCTTGCCACTGGACTTCGTTGAGTGGCACTACAGTCCACTCAAAATTCGCCATGTGGCAAGTCTTAAATATAATCTTTTATCTTTCTTTTATATTTAAAATTTTTATAATTATTATTTTTAACTAATTAATATATTATATATATTAATGTTATGTTTCCTTTTTTGTTTCTTCCCAAATCCCTCCCCCCCCCATGTTTTGCCGAAGGTTTTTGCGAAATGTTTCCTTTTTTATTTCTTTTCTCCCTTTTTTGTTTCTTCCCAAATCCCCCCCCCCCCCCAATGTTTTGCCAAAGGTCTTAGGCTTCAAAACTCCCTCCCTTTTTTTTCTTTCCCAGTTTCGTTTCTTTCTTTCTTTAAAAAAAAATAAAAAATTCTGCACCCACTGCAATTTTATCATGAAACTACCAAAACTTATGGGGCTCAAAGGAAGTACACAAGTCATCCCGTTTGAAGCTAAGCACTTTTCATCTTTTGTAGGAAAATCCCCTTCTCTAGTCTTGGGAAATTGAAGCAACCCATCCACATAAGCACAAGATTCTTTTTTCCCGAGCAAATCATTCTTCATCGCATAAGCCCATGACAAGTAACGAAAAAAAGGCTGAAGAATAAGCCCATTCTAACTATTCTAATCTAAAGGAAGACTCTGAAAGGAAGGTTTGAGGGGAGAGCTGGCTCGACCAGCCTTCGTTCCTCCCCGGTCTCTGTATGACTTCAAGGGTTAGTCACCAGGAATGGTAGAGAGAGAGTTCCTTTTTTGTTCATCTGACCCAGGGAAAATGCTCTTTATTGGTCTCTCAATAGGCGAAACAAAACAGAACTACGCTCAATCTAGCACTAGCAATGAGGAAAAAGAGGTCTTTTGCCTAGTAGTCGCCTTTCTCTTGTCCAGATCGGAAGTTGGAAACTTCCTTTCTTTATACAATAGTTGCCTTGATCGTGTGACATGAATAACCCACATATATAGCTGTATTAGGGTTATTTTCTTTTCTTTTAATTGGGGGTTTTTGGGTTCGAGTGAGGGTGTTTAACAGCTTATGGTTTGATCAAAGTTTTATTTCAAATAGTATTATCTATAGTTCTTAATTATATTTGATAGAGATGTACTGAAACCTAGGACACGGCAAAACTGGGAAAGAAAGAAAGAAAGAAAACTGGGAAAGAAAGAAAGGGGAGGGAGTATTAAAACCTAAGACATGACAAAACATTGAGGGGGGTTGAGATTTGGGAAGAAAAAAACAAGGGGGAAATAAATAAAAAAGGAAACATTTGGCAAAAACCTTCGGCAAAACATGGGGGGGGGGGGATTTGGGAAGAAACAAAAAAGGAAACATAACATTAATATATATAATATATTCATTATTTAAAAAAATAATTATAAAAATTTTAAATATAAAAGAAAGATAAAAGATTATATTTAAGATTTGCCACGTGACGAGTTTTGAGTGGACTGTAGTGCCACTCAGTGAAGTCCAGTGGCAAGTCAAGCCCCGCACAAGTTTTTCTCCAATTGTTGGGGATAAATTTCAGGATCGTATCTCACACGGCACATCCTGAGTTCGATTCTTAACCCTGGTGAATCACACGATGGTTGTCAGGGAGAGCCTGAAATTCCTCTATAAGTCTTCCGGTCCTTGAAAGGGTCCTTTTTCAGAAAAGTAAAAAGTATTCTCGCTCGTACGTATTTAAGGATAAAGATGAGCAAATATGATCTTTAATATCTTTATATATGTGTGGGTATGTGTGAGAGATATAACTCCAACCTTCAAGATATGCATTGAACTGTTATATTGTGGCCTCATGAACTTATTTCTTTGGTTTCATTGGACATATCACATAATGATATGATCAGATCGAGTAGAAAATTCCGTCGACTGAACTCTCTTCCATTCCAAAATGGTATGCCGCATGTCAAGTCAATAGAATGAGGTACCACTCATAGGTACGGGAGCAGTAGTTGGCAAATGAATAATTAAATTTCAATAGGAGTAGTAGTGTTTCGATCATAAAAACTTCGTTCTATATAAACAAGAAAAACCATTACCTGTTTTTAAGCAATGAAGACAAAAGAATTCGAACATAAGACATCTTTCAAGTTTAGTTTGTTTCTTATCGACCCAAACATAAGGTTGCCTTGTTTCTTTCATAAGCAAAAGTATCAACGAGCCACGTGAGCTAAAAAACTCATTTTGTACTCCAAATTTTCTTTAATTAAAAAAAAATTGAAATGTCAATATATGAACTTGTTCATATTTTTCTATTTGTCATATAATAAACTAAAATGTAAGCAATTTTTTATACCAACTTTACAAAATCATTAATTTGTCATCTCACCCTAACTCTTTAAGTTTTCCATCCAATATAAGTCATGTGGGCACATGACTTGTGTTTAGGGTTATTTAGGTCATTTTAGTAACTTTTCATAAGTTTTTTACTTTTCTTTAATAGAAGCAATTAAATTTTTTACTTTTCTTTAGCACATATGCATTTACAAGTCCATTTATGGCACAAAACGTCAACTTGTTTCTCATTTATAGAGCCCGTATGAAATTATGCCTTCGTGACATGCTAAAATGTAAACTCCCACTTATGTATCATTACATATTTGGAATAACTAGAAGGCAGTGCATTGCATGATCATTCCATTGTTATCATATCAAATATATTGTTCCATTGCCTAAGAAACCCTACCGTTTTTTGTCGAAGGGAAGTAAGGTATTAGAATGACCAAAATAACCCTAAACACAAGTCATGTGCGCAACATGACTTATATTGAATGGAAAACTTAACGAAATTAGGGAGAGATGACAAATTAATGGTTTCAAAAGTTGGTATGACAAATTGCTTAAATTTTAGTTTATATGACAAATTAAAAAATGCTTACAAGTTCATATGATATTTCAAAAAAAAATTCCTTAAAAAAATACAATTATGAAGAGTTTATGAGAAATGTAGAATGAAATTTTTTGAGTGCTAATAACAGTTTTCATTTTATATATATGCATATATTCATATATATCCAAGTCCAGTTCCCATCTCATTCAATATGTGAAGGGTTGTCCCATGACTTGCTCCAAGCAGCCTATGTAAGCCCAATTCAAACCCCAATTGAATGGACCATTTTGAGCCCAAGGTGAAATGAAAAGGATATGGCCGGATTGTGGGCTGAAAAACCCCGTCAATGGGCTTCAAATATAACAAAGAAGAGAGAGTGCGTTTGGGAAGATATAAGGGTTAGTTTTTTAGGAAAACTAGCGAAAAGTTCAAAGAAACTTTTCTTTTAATGAAAAATTATTTTTAAAGGTATAGTGAATAGTATCATGAAAAAGTATAAATGTGGTTTTTCGTTAAAAGTGAACAGTACCTGAAGTGTTTTGTTAAAACTCCCTAGTTTTTTTTTGTTTTTGTTTCTTTTTTACGAACAATAACGTTGATAGGTTAAATAGTTAAATGTTAGAAAAATGGGGAACAGTGGAGATCGAAACCACACCAGAATGCATAAGCATTATGTGGAGTTAGGGTTTGTTTCCCATCTTTTTTCACGAAGCAAAGATTGATTCATACTGAATCCAAGATGGGGATATTTAAGGCATGAGAAATGATTTTTGAGTTTTCTTTTTCTCGCATGCACTTTTCTCTTCTTTCTAAGCGTTGAACCGAACAAATATGAACTAAGGAATAGAAGGAAAAAAAAGCGTAGAGGGAAAAAATAAGTCCGAAAAATTCTTTCCCATATGCATGTATAGTGACATCGTATTCGGAAATAAGTATAACATTAAGTTAAATTTTGTATTTGGTTAGTTTCTAGTTGATTTTTCAAAGAATATTATATCATTACCCTTTTCGTTTCGAAATTGTTAATTTGGGATTGAAAAAATACAGATAATACAAAAAAAATGATCATTTTCCATACATAGTTTGATTGCAGATGTGACAATCTTTTAATATCATTAATATGAACACTTTTTTAGACGCTTCTCATATGTACTCTCTTTCACTCACATTTGAGTATTGCACTAACACAAAAGTAAAGTGTTTGATGAATTGTCTCGTAGAGTTTTTCATTCATACCCCTCGTTACAATAAATTTATGTCCGAGCAACCGTCCACGACTACACATACGACATTGGAGCTGGCCGCGTTGTGCCGTACATTGTTTCGTTAGAAATCGATCTAGAAGAAGGATTATTTTGACTAGGGGGTGGCTTCATTGTTTTCTCTTACCAAGGGATTAGGTCATCGTCCTCTTCTCCTACTAGAAAACGAACCTCAACATCGTATTATGTGTCTCCATCTATAAATCTCATGCTGATGACGAATGACGAAGATGAGGAATTAAAAAGAATTTTTTGCATTTGGAAGGTAAGAAAATATGAACCTTAATAAAACTCCAAACCCTAATATTATATATATACAGAGAAACTCTAAACTCTTAATCTAATGGTCATATGGTTTCAGATTTAGGTAATTTTTGGTATACATGATCTTTGATGGTTCAGATCGTTAAATACATAACGAAGTAAGTCTCATAAAAACGTACTTCAAAAGTTGTGTAAAAAAAATGATGTCACGAATCAGGCTTCATATATATAGGATAAGTTCGTTTTGACTTGTTATGTCATGCATATATATAATAACGTTCATTCTCTGTGAAGACTCAAATACTTTAAAGCGTGTGGCGCCAATTCCATTAGGCATGCATAGATTATCGATAGCCTCACACGTTCTTAGGAAGATATTGCCTTCAGATGTGCCAATCTAGGACGGCAGATAAACAAAACATTATAATTTCAACTTCGATCACCAGTGGAAACATATCTGAATTTGTCACATACTTGATTATGCATACTGTCCTTAAAGAAAAGAGAATCGGTTCTCGGTGCAAGTAATGTTGGGAAACACAAAAATCAAACACAGGATCTCGGGTGTAGTGATTTACATTCATAATCTGTGACAAGGTTAGAGTGCAGATAACCAATGGCACTATTATCAAAGAGAAGTTATTTTTCAAGATATATGAAGCACTGGTTTTGTAATAATAAAAATCTATAAAAGTATAGATTTTTTTTTTTTTTTTTGTAACAAAAAGTTTAGGGAGAGATTGTTACTCTCATTGCCAGTACCAGAACAAACTCATAACCTCGAGCTGGAAGGACTTACACATGACATCTGCTAGCTGTTACCAGTAGGAATTTATGTAGGAATTTACATTTCGCATATCAACGAGGACTGCTAGCAGCAAGACTCGAACTTTGATGGGGCGACACACAAAGTAAAGACCTTACCAACCGAGGCAACCGTTGTTAGCATAAAAGTACATATTATGTAGTCAAGTAGAACGATAATAATTTTAGGGACAATAACTAATAGCTGTAGTGTAGCACAAATTTGGAGTACTTCCACCATTGAAATATGCCAAAACAATAGTCTTAAGAAACCAATTAATTGAGCTAGGGTTGTCTTATATTTTTGTTTTGGTTGATGTCGATGGAATAGATGACGAACATTGGCCATTTCCCATTGCCATTAGTTGCTTCTACGGTTGTACCACATATCAACATAATTATACGACCAAATAAAAAATATTAGCTAACTATCACGGGATGGTCCAGTAATCGATGACGAATTCTATATTTGTATTCTGCACGACACGTCCATGGGTTCAATTCTTGATGCTAGTGAATCACATGATGGTGGCCAGAAGAAGATTAAAATGCCACCGAGTCTTTTCCAGCCCCCAAAATGTTAAATAGTGTGGCGAAGCACAAACAGGTCTCTCTTTTTTTGCAAAAAATAAAAAATATTAGCTTAACCAATACGTATGTTAATGATTTTTGTTTAAGAAACGTATGTTAATGATTTAAATTCATAGTTTATAAATACAAAAGAATTCTCTCTGTCATCCTTGATCACAAAATTATGTTTTGTCTTTGCATAAATTTGTTCAATGGGTTTATATTAAAATATAAGGGTTTCTCCTAAAAGGTACTTGTGAATTGGGTCAATATAAAATTCTCTGTTGTTTTAACATATTTGCTATTATCTATCCAAATGAGTGGGGGAGAGTTAAACTTTATAGTAAGTTAGCAATAATAATTTAATTTGAAATCGTTTTTTGACGATATCGAATCGAAGACTACCTTACTACTAAATGACTATTTTATACATATTAAAATGAACCTAAATTACATATATAGAGCACAAAAACGAGGGTGCAAAAATGATTTTGTATTAAAAAACTCTCTTTTTTAACAAATCTAAAAGATACCCCATCTTATTTAGGATTTGTCAAAATAAAATTAAAAATACTTCCTTTTCCCACTGCCAAATGAAATTTACACTCGAAATTAAGGAGAGAAACAAACAAACAAAATCCATAAAAACGTAAGCTTTCAATCTCACCCAATTCTATCCTTTTTCTAAACCATAAGACGATTAGTTCAACTTCAACCCCAAGTCGCTGACACGTTCTTCCCCCCCCCCCCCCCCCCCCCAAAAACATTTGCTTCCAAATCCCCCTTAAATCTCACTAATTAGGTCAGATTTCCACCTCTCGGAATCCCATTCCATGCAACCCTTTCGAGCACTAGCATGAATTTTCCCGCTTTTACAGGTGGGAAGTCCATTCCTCCCTAAAAATTCAACGTGTGAATCAGAGCCTGCATGAAACTCCTCTGTATTTTTTCTTAAAACTGAGATAAAGCGATTGATCGATGGATTTCTTCACTGATGGGTGCCTTAATTAATTCTTTACTACATACCCACTTTGATTTCAGGAATATGGGTTTTTCTGGTGGGGGTTTTTACTCATATACGCCTCCTTCTCCTAGGTTTTTAACCCTCTCTGTCTCTTCCCTCTTGCTTGCTCTGTTCAGATTTTTCAGCAAGTTCTTCCTCAGAGTCAGGTACTCAAATTCCCAGTTGGGTTTTGTACTTCTGATGTTTTTAGATGAATTTCCAGCAGGGTTTTGTAGTTAATATACTTTTTTATTCGGTCAGAAACTTATTTTTGTGTTTGTTTTTGTTGCAGTTTTGTTAATGGTAAGAGTTATTGGATGAACAATTATTGTTGTTCTGGCCCTGTTTCTGAAGAAACCGATCAAATGGTATCGAATAATAATCTTGTTGAGACAGAAGCTCTGCCTGGAAAATCGGATTCTTGTTGTCCTAGCTCTGCTTCTGAAGAAACCAATCAAACGGTATCGAATAATCCGGCTGAGCCAGAAGCTCTGCCTGAGAAAGCTGATTCCGAGATTTCGAAAAGCCATGGAGATTCCGAGTTTGGTGAAGCTGATGATGGAGAGGCGTCGAAGCAGAGTTTTGTATTTAAATTCGAGTACCAGACTAAAGAAATATTAAGCAGAAGCAATAGAGAGTTTGAGTTTATGGCTGACAAGTTTAACCTATTCAAAGTAGAACCAGAATTCATAAGCAGCAGCAGAAAATACGAATTCAAAGTCGAAGAGGTTGTGAGTTGCTTCGTGGAAGAAGCTAAAGTTGCAACCTTTACCGTCGAAGAAGGAGGTGATCATGAGCAAATTACTCAGGAATTTGCAGGTGAGGAATGGGAGGAAGATGAAGAGTCTGATAAGATATCGCTGACGGAAGATCCTCATTTGGATGAAGAGCGAGTGGGGAGTCTTGAAAGCGATTCAGATTGCGAGAAAGTTGATTCGCATGAAGTTAAGTTCTTGTCAGAAAAGGACTTTGTTGCTTCAGATTATGATTGTGCTTCTACTGGCTCTCCTAATCTGGGGTTTTTGTCTGTAGCAGATTCTGGGGAAAGAAATGACCAGCTTGAGAATTTAGATATGGGGTACGAGTCTGATTGTTTCGATGATGAAGATGAAGATATACACGAACAAATTCAAGAATTGGAAGAGATGTCCAGCAACTCGAATCCAAAAGGGTTTAGTAGCAAAGACGAAAAACCAATTGAGGGTTTCATGCTGAAAACCCCGATGTTCGTTGTTTGACACCTAATGCTTCCGAGGATTCAAACACATTGGAAACATTGTGGGAACACCAGGATTTGATAGAACAGTTGAAAATGGAGCTCAACAAAGTCAGAGCTACTGGCCTGCCTACCATTCTTGAAGAATCCGAGTCCCCGAATATGGATGATTTGAAGCCATGGAAGATCGATGAAAAAATCCATCAAGGTGATAGAATGGGAGAACTTCAGAAGTTCCACAGAAGTTACAGAGAACACATGCGAAAATTCGACATTTTGAATTACCAGAAGTTATATGCAATAGGTCAGTTTTTTCTTCAATTTCGATTAACGTCTTCATAGTTTCAAATCATTTTGTTCGTGTTTTCTTCCCAAATTTTCTTCTTCTTATTTTCAAACTGTTGTAATCCATTCGATTCATCGGTATGTTTAATTCAACCTACTAAATCAGGTTAGTTGATCATGAAAGAAGCATGAGCCTGCTTGCATAAAAGTAAATTTACATGACCTAGTTAGAAGTTAGAAAACACCTTTTGTTAGTTCTCAATTGTGTAAGCACTTTTCCAAAAAAAAACACTTTTGCATGTGTACCTGTTTAAATATTGTCTAAAAGCACATTACATAGTGGACGTGCCCCTTAATTTATGTTTAATTAGCACCATCTGAGCATGCTAATCTTTAAGCTCCCCCAGTCTAATTATGGAAGTGCTTTTGTGCTCCACCATTTTGTTTGCTGTTTCCTCTATGCAGACAATCTGCAGAAATTCATGTGTATGAAAAGTTAATCTGTAATTATTAAATTAAATTGACTTCTGTGTTATGCTAATTCTAGATGCTCTATGTTGTTTTTATGCTAACTATATTTAGTTCACATGATCTTAATTTCTCATGTGTTTTATGAAAATCCAAATGTGTAGGTTTCTTGCAGTCCAAGGATCCACTTCAGTCGTTTCCGAGCTCCAAGTCCTCAGCTCCGACAATCCCATCCTTTCTCTCACAGATTTTTTGGGGATGCAAACCGAAAAAGGATTCGGATTCCGACCCAATGGTGAAATTTATTAGAGAATTGCATAGTGAATTAGAAGTGGTTTATGTGGGGCAGTTGTGCCTTTCTTGGGAGATCCTTCAATGGCAGTATGAGAAGGCCGTCAAGCTTTGGGAATCGGCTCCGTCTGAAATTGGTTCGTACAATGCAGTCGCGGGCGAATTCCAACAGTTCCAAGTGCACTTGCATAGATTTGTAGAGAATGAATGTTATCAAGGGCCTAGGGTTGAAAATTACGTCAAGAATCGATGCATCACGCGCAATCTTCTTCAAGTTCCGGTGATTAGAGGTGATTAAAAAGTTTAGATTAAGTGTTGTATTTACTTAGGGATGTTGAAGGTATGATTTATTTAAACTAATAGAAGTGTATGGCACTGCAGGGGACAATTTAAAGGAGAGAAAGAAAGCAAGAAGAAAAGGCAAAGATGATGGTGCAATTACAAGCAACATTCTAGTAGAGATACTCGAAGAATCAATAAGGACGATTTGGAGATTCATTCGAGCTGATAAACATGCTAATTGTACGCTTGCATGTCGAAAGAGAAGACCAGAAGAAGAGCTTGAAGAATCGGATTTGAAGCTTTACATAGAGATCCAAACAGATCTTCACAATGTACGTTTCATATCAGACAATATAACATGTCATTCCGTTTCACGACTTTTCATGTTTCGATTTCACCTAACGATGAAGTTAACTTGTACTTTGAAATGCAGAAAAAGATGAAGCTAAGAGAAATATTGAGGAGTGGGAACTGCATACTAAAGAGATTGAAAAAGCATGGGGATGTAGGCACAGATCACCTCTGCTTCTTCTCCCAAGTTGACATGAAATTAGTAGCTAGGGTTTTGAACATGTCGAATATTACAACAGAGCAACTAGTGTGGTGCCGCAATAAGTTGAGCAAGATAAATTTTGTGAACCGAAAGCTCCGCGTAGATCCTTCCATCTTGCTATTTCCATGCTAGCAATAGTAGCCAAACTTTTGTCTAACCAAAGAAGTAATATTAGCTTCCCAACTATGATTGTTCATATTTTCTCATCAAAGCGATATTTTAATTTACATTAATATACGAGGAAAAGATTTCAAATTTGCAAATAAAATTGCGAGCACAATGACTTGACTAAGGGCTGTAGTGCTATTTTTAAATCTGCTTTTGTGCGAATAAAGTGAGGAAAAAAAAAAACAGCCAAATGTTTGGTAAACTATAGGACTTTTAGCGAAAAGAATGGTAGAGGTAGAATTGTCAAGATAAAACTTATAGTAGTTGGTACAATTCACTTGCCTCCAATGACAAAAACGCTTTTTTGAGAAGCATATGTACAATTGCTTCTATTTCATGCTATTTTGAACTCATGATTTAAAAAAAAAAAATTATTATTTTTATTTACCAAACACAATTAAAACTCAAACTTTAAAAAAAAAGTTATTTTATAAAAAATTTACGTAACTCCAAACCAGCCCTAACGAGTCAACGCATACATGCTTATTGTTCATATTTTGACAGGTTGAAAAATATGTATGGCGGTGGTAATGTGAAGTCTCTAGGCAGCAGACGAAACATAAATCTGGCGGCAAAGATGAGGTGCCCACGCCGTTGGGTTCGTAAGTTGTAGTGTCATCGTAATGAACATTTACTTGGTCAAAATTTAAAATTTCAATGATGCTATACCTTTCCTCAAGTAAATTAACTTACCTATTAACTTTTTGTAATGGTTGGTGGCTAGGTAGTTAACAACAACTTAATGTGGTGTTTCGATAACCAATTAAGTACTAGTTTGGAACTATTTTTCAAAAGTATTTGAAGTACTTCTTACAAGAAGTACATAACTGGTGTCTTTTTGCAAGAAACACTTAAGTGCTTTTAGAACCCAAATTTTTTTCTCTAAAAATGATTTCAGTCATTTTAAAAGTATTTACAAACGAGTCCTAAGTAATGATTTTAATTAGGTTGCAAGATTTTTTTTTCCTTCTATTTTTATATCACATTAAGATTTTTTTTTTCCAACTATGTGAGAGAGTGTTTGGTCTTTTTATTAGCAAACCGATATGGTTAATGAGTTAGATGGTTGTTAAAGAGAGACGAGAGAGAGGATTCAACCCGTCATATGTAGAATAAATTCTACTGGACCATTAGTCAGACTAAGGCCCAGTTTAGGATTACTATGCCTTTTTAAAAAATTGTTTTCGTTGTACTTTAAGAATGATCAGTTGTAAAATAAAGCAGATGAGCTTGGTTAACTGAATTTTAAAAATGCTGTGAGTATAAAAAGCAACGCAAAATCGTTTGGTAAAATTCAATGTGAAGGTGATATAATTGTATACAATGACAAATGAACATAATAGTAGGAGTGGGGGCGACGACAACAGTGGTGGTAATGGTGGTGGTGGTTGCGGTGGAGGTGGTGGTGGTGGTGGTGGTGGTGGTGCTAATAGTGGGATGTGTTGGCTGTGGTGGAAAGGTAACAATGGTGGTAAGGCACTGGCAGTGGTGGCGATTGCGATTATGGGGGTTGTGTTGGCGGTGGCGGCAATGATGGTGGTAATGGTAGTTGTAGTTGTGGTGCAATGGTGGCGGTTGCAGTAATGATGGTGGTGGTGGTGGCGATGGCAGCATCGATGATGGTAGCAATGGTGGTAATGGTGGTAGTAGTGGTGGTGGCGGCGGTGGCAGTGAAGGTAGTGATGGTGTTGACAAAGATGATAGTGATTGATAGTGGTGGAGGTTGTGGTTATGGTGGTGGTGGTGATAAAAATGGTGGTTGTAATGGCGGTGATGGTGTAAGGTTATTATTTGTAGTGGTAGATAGTAACGTTTACTTTATTCTCTAAGGGATAGAATGTGTGTGGAAGGCTAAACAATGTCATTTAAAAAAATTTAATGAAGTTACAATGGTTGTTTTTAAAAGCTATTATTTGGAACCCATTACTTTTAAAATAGGCAGGATCTTTTACTTTTACCAAACATTTTTTTACTGCTTAACTTTAAAGTTAAAGTTAAGCAGTTTTTAATGAAAAAAACAATACCAAACAAAGCGTAAGACTCGAGATTAGGACCAAACATTGAATTTTACATCTCATTTGGGGTGTCATATATTGTGAGGGTTGTTATGACCAAGTTTTGAAAAACATGATCGGTTCGGTTCATGATCCAGAAACAACACAACCCAAATTTTAAACTAGACCGACTAATCTGGTTCGATTTAGTACTGAAAAGGAAAATTAACAAGAAAAGCCACACCAAACCAGATATGCCGGTTTAGTCCGGTTTTGTCGAATTTTCGGTGGATCTGCCAATCTATAAAGCCCAATGGGCTGTGTGATTGGATTACCCCCTTTATTACGGATCAGCGTGGGACTCTTAAGTTCAGGCCCGTCTCTTTTCTTTTTAGACCCGGCCCATTAACTTAACCAATTTTAAATCCTCACCGTCCAATACTTAAAATCTCTCCACAGCCATCCGATCTAGGGTTTCTCGGCCTTCGAAAACCCTATTTAACCGCTCTCATCGTCCATAGGCAACCCTTTTGTTGCAGTCGATCGCACTGACAGAGAGAGAGGCAGCCGAGCTAAACGAGCATTCCAAAAATGGTGCAGCGGCTCACGTACCGGAAGCGTCACAGCTACGCCACCAAGTCCAACCAGCACCGCATCGTCAAAACTCCCGGTAACATAATTTGCACCGTTTGCATTCCCAATTTGCTTCTGGAAATCTGATCGAATATTCAATTAGGGTTTTGCTGGTTTTGTTTATGGTGTCGTTTGATTGGTTTGGTTGAGTTGGTTTTGTGCGTGTTGAATGTTAGGGGGGAAATTGATCTATCAGACCACCAAGAAGAGAGCCAGCGGTCCCAAATGCCCTGTTACCGGCAAGAGAATCCAAGGGGTATGTCTTTGCTTTCGTTTGATTGTTCAGTATCTGTATATGCGATTGTATATGAATGTGTATGTGTATGTATGTATTTGTTTGACTGAGCAATTTGGTTAGGTTTATGATGTGAACGCAAGAATGTGTGTGATTGTATTTGTTTGATGAATGATTTGTTGGGGTGTATGAATTTGTGGGAGACTAGCTAGAAGTATTTGAATTTCGAACATGAACTCCAAAGTCCAAATGAATGTTTTCAGATTAGGACTGATACCGGGTACATAAAAAAACTCGTTCTTTTGAATCCAATCGTACTATTAGGTTTGTGACGAGGGAATTGATCATTCCCTAACTTGGAGCAGGCAACTTATGCTTTTAAATTCCAAATGTTAATAACGTCGCATATAGACTTGTTGACGTTGATGGTCCTCCCAGCTCTTGTTGGAAGCTCCTCCGTTGATGGTGGTGTCATATCCTATCTTCCCGCGGAGCAGTGTCACTGCCATTACCACTTCGGAAGATAGCCATGCACTGACATTTTGTTTTTTCAATTTTTGTTTAAGCATGCTCTTAGTTTTGAACTTTAACATACGCAGCACTCTCAAATGCATTTTTTTGGTAGGGACTCTCCTACATGCATATAAATTATATTTGTATAATCTTTTCAAAAACTTGCGTTTCATGTGGGGCTTTTGTGTGGGTTTGTTCTTCTGTTGGGTGATATGCTCTGCATTAACTCTGGTGTTTTTAGTTTTCTTAAAAAATTGAACCCTTAAAAATGAGAATGACTGGAGTTTTGACAAATTGATTGTACATTTGTTCGTTTCATCCAGCTTTATATGATATTTGAAAGATTGAACGTTGGAGTGAATATTGGATGGTAACTGTGGCTGATAGTAATTTTGGTTTCCTTGCAGATTCCTCACTTGAGACCTGCTGAGTACAAGAGGTCTAGATTATCTAGGAACCGCAGGACTGTGAACCGGGCCTATGGTGGTGTATTGTCTGGAGGTGCAGTTAGGGAGAGGTAAATTAACGCGAACATTCTGATTGTTGGATGCGCTGGTATTATAATTTTTGTATGGTAGTAATTAAGGCATTGCATTGAGTTTTTATTGTTCATTTTGTATGCAGGATCATTCGAGCTTTCTTGGTCGAAGAGCAAAAGATCGTGAAGAAGGTTTTGAAGATTCAAAAGGCTAAGGAAAGGCAGGCGGAGAAAGGAGCCAAACATTGATAGTCGTTTGAATGAATTATAAGAAATGAGCGAGATTTTGTCGTTAGGTTTTGTTGATTGATGAATTTGGATCTGAGATTTGGGATGCTTTTATTGTTATGTGTTGCTCGTCTACTCGGTTAATTTCGTTTCAATGATAACTAATTCCCTGTTTCTTCCTTTGTGATAATCTTGTTCGTTTATCTTTATCTTTTTACTGGTAAATGGCAATGCTTCAGTTTGTTTTTCAGTGCAAATTTTATGCTATTCTAAAATTCTCGTGGATGATGACGATGATATTGTAAACTACTTTAATTTACAGGAGATGTTTATTTTTTGGTTAATGACCACCATTTTGCTATCTAGTGTCCAATCTTTCATTTTTTGCTTTTCAATTGTTTTATATTTTCCAAGTTGATTATCTCAAGTCAGGTGCTTGTTACAAAAAACACTTCAGTTACAAAAAACACTTCACTGTTTTTTAAAAATTCACTTACATTTATACTAAGAAATAGTTTCAAAATATTTTTACCAAAAACATTTCTATCCATTTTAAAAGCATTTTTAAAGGAGTCCTAAATTTGCAAGATCTATTAAGCGCAATGCTATTTTAAGATTCATACAGTCGGTTCCACCTAGCAGGTTGTTGTAATGTTGTGTTATATTAGGTTGAAAGCATAGCAGAGTTAAACAGTATTTGATGAATATAATTTTGGGGGATCAAGTAATTTTAAAGATCCAGAGAATTAGTGAAAATTTGGAGATTCCTATAACGTCAGAGGAAAAGAGTTCATGATTTGGTATGACGATAGTTTTTACATGCTAGTCAGTTAATTAAGGATAAAATTGCATATGATAAACATTTTGCCTCTGATCCGAGCCAAAAGGAGTGCTTTGTTGGCTTGGGTCGGCCTTTTTCAGTCAGGAAATCATTTTCTTCAATTGTATCATAGTAAAATATTAATTCTGCTTGATTATTTTTCATGTAAAATGAATTACTGTGGATAATCAATGTAACCAGAGTAATTAGTAATCTTACCCATACCAGGGTAAATGGGCCTTTACCACGGCCTAAATGTTCTGTCTTGGTTGAGCAAAGAAACCCACGAGTCGCTTTTTGGGTTGTTTTAAAAAAAAATAGTAACAATAATCCATCAATTAAAAATCAATGATCATTAGTTTCTCAACTCAACAAACATGTAGCTATGGTCATTTTCGTCAATATCGTTAAAATTTTTGTTAAAATGAGTCAAGGGGCAACTATTGAAAACTAAATGAGAAAATTGTAGAAATAGTTCTCAACTTTAACCCAATTTGAGAAATAATTCCTCAATTATAACCCAATTGAAACAATGGTTCTTCAACTTTAACCTAATTGTATCAATGATTCTTCCAACATGACTCGTTTTGATGGAAGTTCTGACAGAGTTGATGAAAAAGACCATAGTTGCACATTTTGAGGAGCTAAGAGACCAATGTTCATAAACTTTTTAATTGCTAAACCATTACTTCAATTGGTGAAAGTTGAAGGACCGTTGCTACATTTTATATTCTTTTTGGTCTATTCCACGAGTCCATTTGAGTATGAATAGATGTGAAAACACAATTTTCGTTCATCCAACAAACTATATTTGTTTATATAATGTTAATAACTTGATATAATCAGTTTCCAAAACCCCACCAATACGAGGGCTTGCGCTGTAGGAGTACATCGTTATTGTGGCGTCCTATATTAGTGATAGAATGACATGTGTAAGTTTTTTATCACTTGGCGTTGTATTATTGACATGAGACGTCACTATGACGGTATACTCTCGTGCTATGTTGTTGTTCTCAATATTATTAAATACTAGACTAGGTTATGATCTATCAACTTATTCCCGAACGCAATTTTAATTTAATTGATTTGAGACAAATTATTTAATTTTGTTGATATCAAGAGAAATCCCAAACATTATTTTTAGGGATACTTTGGATGCGGTCCTTAATCCTTAACATTATTTGACTAAAACATTAATAGTATTCAAAGTTTGATCAAAATCCATTGACTTTGTACACCTCATTATATTTCAATTAATATTTATAGTTTTATAGTTTTGACATTAATTGTTTGATATTTTATGAGATTTATAATCCTATAAATTTAAAATACCTCATTATAATACTATTAGAAACGGTTACAATAAAAAAATTTAAACATTTTGATTGACTAAATGGATAAAAACTAGTTAAAAATAAGAAATAATAAATGGCAAAAGAATGTATCCATAGTGTTAAAAAAAATTGGTACATTTTACAAAAAAAAATGGTACATTTCACATATAACAAAGTGGTACAATAATAAAGAAGAATGGGTACATTATAAATAAATTAGGGTACAGATAAAAGATTAAAAAAATATGAGTACAAATGAATTTTTAGAAAATATAGGCACTAAAAGAAATTAATGCATGGGTACAAAATAAAACTAAAAAGAAAATACTACAAATTTTAAAAAATGTTGCAATTTAAAAGTGGGTACAAACTAAAAATATAAATACAAAGTTTAGGCATAAAACATAAATATACCGTATGTAATTTTTCTATCATTGATTAAATATACAATGTCACGTGACAGTATACACATGGGTACAAACACAAACAAAACTTTAAAAAATATGGGCACAAAAAGAAACTAATATATGGGTACAAATTAAAAATGAAAAAAAAATTTGGTACAAACTAAAAGTAAAAATATATGATAAAAAATTTAGCCATAAATATAAATAACTAATTGTAACATTTTTAACACTAAAGGAATATATTTAAAAATAAAAATATTTTATTATTCAAATAATTAATGATGTTATTAATACCGAAGGACCTTGATCAAAAATTGAAAATGAATAAGATTTTAATCAATGGAGTAGTAAAAAGAAGGATGTGAACCTAATTTCTCCTTATTTTTATCCCATGTATCAAATTTAGTATTAAGACTAGGTTTGTCCTTGTATTAAGACTAGGTTTATCCCAATCAAATTGACATCACCATTTTTTAATAGGGTGGTGCTATATACACACCCTTATTTATCTTTTACACATCTCACTTAATTTTCAACTGCAGATCGAATGAAGTGAAGTTTATCAATGAACAAAAATTAACAGAATATGTATGGAAAGTAAAAAATGATGTGCAGCTACATCACCCTTTCCTGTGACATGGCTCTAGAAGGCATTTTATTTATTAAATAATCAAATATGTTAATAAATGAGATCAACACCAAGAAAATGAGTAGAAGTGCGAGAGTGATTATATTTAAAAAAGATAAAAACGTCATGTAGATAGAACTTCAGTTCAAAATCCCTTATCCAAGGAATGACTTTAGGAGGTAAGGTAACCAACAAGACAGTATTAATCTTAGGTTATTTTATGTCATAAATATTGGAGGAATGTTGCTTTCAAAGAAATTTATCTTAATTGATTATCCTAAAACATAAATATTATAACATAAGGCCTATATGTGATTGATGAGTAATTTGGACAAGCACGCATGTCTGGAACTTACATTACAACTTAACTACTGATAATATTATTTTCTATCTCAGTTTTTAATTTTTTTTAACATTGGATATTTACAAAACGACTTTTACAGGGGATCAAGCATGCATCTCTAGGTGTGCAACTTGGGCGGGCTTGATGGTCAACTCATCCCTTATCCAACATTTCTACATCTGGTATGGGTTCGGTTCGGTTTCATGCTGGTTTATTCTGGTTCGAGTTTAAATTGGATTCGGGTTTACTCGGGTTGGGTTCGGTTTTACCCAACTTTATTGATTTAAATAACACATTATTTTATAAGATAAATTTCAAATTTTGAACCAAATAATGTCAAAAATATTTAAATTCAAATTTACACAGACAATAGCAATGTTTTAACCAAAAGAAACGTAAAATCAACACAATCATTCATTGTTCAAATAAAAACCAAACAACAAACTTCAAGTATAGACAGACCTCCCAAACTTGTATATCTAGCTTATATAATTGAAATGGGACGGGTAATATGTACATGAGTAATTCAGGCTAGAAATCGGGTTGGGTTTAGGTTGACATGGATGGGCAAAGCACCAATCCAACCAAACCCAATAAAAAATTGGGTTAAGGTCGGGTTGGGTTTGGATGGATTTTTACTTCATTCTAACCCGCTCAATCGGGTTTAAATTCGGGTTAAGCATGGACGGATTTGGGTTGACCCAAACCAAGTTGCACCCCTAGCGTCGTCCTTATAGTGATATGAGTCAAATTTGAGGCTTTCTTCAGGTAAATGAAAACAATTATTTGTGCGCCAAACAAGGACATATCTGGTGCATTTGGTCAATATAGGTTTGCTTGAAAAATGAAAATGCATGAATTGAAGTGTTGCTTAACAATTTTAGAATATTTTACCAAGAATGTAAAGCATAAACATATAATATATAATGGACGATGCATGGAATTTGATGCGGTTAAGGAAAACTATTTTATAATTAGCTACAGAAAGTCATTCACATTGATCAAAGTTTTGTTTGATAGGAACATGCATGGTTGTGTTAATTAGAAGGTTGATGTTTGCAAAGAAAGAGAGGTTAGAAAACTTGGTTTGGAAGAGTTTGATCCAAATTTCAACTTAGGTTGGACGCATGGGCTCCAAATCCAAGATTAAGCAACAGACAACAAGGGTTGCAAATGAGGATCTATATCTGGGGAATTTCACTAAATTTGAGTCTCCGCCACACACACACACACACACACACACATATATATATACTTATATATATACTTATACCGACAATTAGTTTAAATTGGACATGCTGATGATTTAAATTAGCATCTCATTGTTAGCTTAATACTAGTGGCTCTTTTTGAATAGTATAGTGGTTGGTTGACATGGAAACTTTTTTTTAGTAAGAAGATAACACTGTTATATATCGTTATTAATTCATGCGTCATAATATTGATGAATGACATAAGTGTACATAGATTGGTGATACCACTAAAATAGAAAGCGTAACAAAGCTAAGTGATCTCAATTCGTTGGAAGAAATGCAGCTTCTCAAAACGGGTGTCTGGAAAGTACCAAAAAGATTGTTCTTTTTGGCCAGTGAGGTTACCAAAAAAATTTGGATGTTAGGAAGTTTGGATTCCCATTTTTGTGAAATCAAGGGGATTGACCCATGCCTTCTCATTTCTTAAGTAAGTGATGCAGTGAGAAAACTAATTAAGGCG